CCCCCTTGACAGAGTGGGCAAGCAATAGTTAGCACCCGATTCCTTTAATGGAATCCCTTGCAGCAGCAGCATTAGAGGGGCAGGCACAGCCAATCCATACCCCTCAACCAACCAAACCATAAACCAATGCCTAACCGCAACCTTACAAGTTGTGACGATTTGCTATGCAGTAGGAAAAACCAAATGGCCCCAGCCAATCAGCCAGATGGACAAAATTCCTACCGGGCCCCTGCCCCAAGAGCAGACGACCCCATGACAGGCATAGCAAGGTCAAAGCGAACAACCCTAAATATAGGGAGGGGGGGACGGGCAATCCGATGCACGGGCGAAAAGAGGAAGCCCTAGCCTCGTGCAAGGAGTTTTAGCATTTATGGCTGTCAATCAACAAATGGCAACATTAACTTCTTCCCAACAACAAGGGAAGCCCCAATTGCATCAGTGGCCCACGATCAATTAGCCCGCCCCCAACTTTGGAGTGTCCTGGCGGCCCTCACCGCAACACGTGCTCTCCATGAAGGAGAACACGCTTTACCGCATAGAGCCCTGGTCAGGCAATTAAGAGAAGGTGGAGGTTTTGGTGCAAGGCCTTATCCCTGACCTCAAAATGTTGTCTGTTGCTCACGGGCACTGATGATACCACGCTTGCTGAAGACATTCAGTTCACTTCTGTACATTTGCACATCAGTTTGCAATCATGAAAACTGATCAGCATTTTAGTAGGAATTTCTCCTAATTTAGATTTTTGATTCAATTTTGTCTAATACAGTACAGTCAAACCTCGGTTGCTGAATGTCTCAGCTGCTGAACACCGACAACACAGAAGTGACTGCTTCCGTTTTCGAATGAAGTGCGTTTCTCTCTTTTTCCCCCCCAATTAGATTTGCCGGCTGCTACTTTTCTGGGTGGCAGCAAGAGAGGCAGCACCATGAAGGCGTCGGGCACCCTGAGGAAGTGCAAAGTTGTTGGGAGATGCCTCCCCAAAACCACCTCTCTATTGTATGTGCATCTTTGCTCCCAATCATGTTGTTGCAAAGTCCCATTTCTGGTACTTTGTCTCTCAGCTGAAGAAGATGAAGAAGTCTTCTGGGGGAATTGTGTACTGTGGACAGGTTTTTGAGAAGTCTCTGTTGAAGGTGGAAATTTTTGGTATCTGGCTGCACTGTGATTCTCGAAGTAGAACTCATAACATGTACAGGGAGTACAGGGTTTTGACAACTGCTGGAGCTGTTACACAGTGCTATTGCAATATGGGAGCCCGTCACAGAGCTCTTGCTCAATTCAGATCATGAAGGTTGAAGAGCTGTCAAGCAGTTCAATGATTCCAAAATAATATTAATATTATATATATATATATATATATATATATATATATATATATATATGATTAGTTTTCCATTTAATAAGATACAATCACATCATTTTTATCCACTTTACCTCTCTGGCTCTCCTTCCCTCCCGCCTCATGTCTTTCAAAATTAACCTTTATATCATTGCATTTTATTTGTTTTCCAATTCTAATTACACTCATTACAAAATACCTCAAAATTTAAATAAATCTCAAAAGGGAGAAAATTTCTCATTACAAGTCTTCAGGCAAGCCTGCTAGGGATGTTAATTGCTTACAATGATCTTTCAGATATTGTATAAATTTACTCCAGGCCTTTTGGAATACTGGATCACGCTGGTTTCGGATTTTTCCTGTCAGCTTCGCCAGTTCTGCATAGTCCCATCACTTTCATCTGCCATTCCTCTTTCGTTGGTGCTTCTTGTTGCTTCCATTTTGGGGCTAAAAGAATTCCCACCGCTGTTGTTCAGGCAACCTCCATTTTAGGCGTGACTGATATGTGTGCAATTGCACACATGTGCACAGGGCTGAACCTGGAAGTGACCCAGATATGTCATAAAAGATGTCACAAAAAGGGTGAGTGGGGGCAGGGCGGAGCAGGGGCAGAACAGGGTGTTTCAATTGCAAACAATTCCATGCAAGTATGCAATGACGCACAATGCAACTCCCATGCAGATTGGAGGTTGCCTATATATGCTTATATATGCACACTATACCATAGTATATGCACTTTTCTACATATTACATAGCCGAGGAATTTGCACTGCAAAATTTGGAGAAGTGATAATTTCTTTCTTTCTGTCTTTTTTTTTATTTTTGCAAATATTAAAGGACAGCTGTGTTTCAGTTTGCATATTGCTTCAGAAAGTGAGAATTATGTAAATTCCCAAACCGAAACACAAATTATAGAACCTGACAATGTCATACACAACGCCAGGCAGATCATTCAGCTGCTTGCCTTTCCATTGTGATACACAGCATGTTTTGCCAACAACGAACAATATGCCTTCTGCATTCTGCATTCTACTTTTCTATGCAAAGGAATAAACGGACAGAAATCTGATGTCAGAAATGGCTACATTCCAAAACAGTGGAGAAACAATTTGATTTCCAGTGTATTCCGTAACTGTTATTAAGGTGGCCAACCTTGAAAAAAATGAACTTCAGAGGGAGACTGCAACATGCAACCACTGAATTACAATTCATCAAGAGATTTAGTGCTATCATTTATCTACTGAATTAGTAGAGAGAGAGAAATTTTATTTAAAAAACCCCACTCTACCTGTGATAATTGGCTGACCAATACTAGGATGTCTGTGTCATCAACAACTCTTTTTGTGTGAATAATCAGTGTTAATAACATAATTGCGTGTCGAGGTCCCCAAGCCACCCCCCCAAAATAACTCACAACACACACTTAATTTTTGTTTAAGGTTTTTGGCATAATTTTGGCCACAACTTTATTTAAATACAAAACCGTGAGTGGTTGTTTAGGCATTGGTTAAGACTATCTGTCCCCCCGCCTGGGGACAGAACTGACTTCCGGGCACCACCGAAAGACAGTGCGGGGGAAAGCAAGTCGGGGAGAAATGGAGCTGGGACACAGACCCTCAATTCTCATCCGCATGCTCCCCGAAGGCTTGCTGGCCCTAGTCCCATTCCAGGGATTGGACGAAAAGATGGCAAGCCCCAGGATTCCTTTAACGGAATTCCCTTTCCGCAGCAACCATGGAGGGCAGGCCCAGCCTATCCTAACCCCTCCTCCACCAATTTATAACCAATGCCTAACCGCAACCTTACAAGTTGTGATGATTTGCTACGCAGTAGGCAAAAACCAAATGGCCCAGCCAATCAGCCAGATGGACAAAATTCCTACCAGGCCCCTGCTCCAACGGCAGACGACCCCATGACAGGCATAGCAAGGTCAATGCAACAACCCCTTACTCAAGGGCGGGCGGGTGGGTGATCCGTTGCACGCAGCAAAGAGAAAGCTCCAGGCTGCGTGCAGAGTATTTAAACATTTTACCCCTCCCACCAAAATTGCAACATAACTTTTATTCCAGCAACCCAGTGAACCAATCACTGCCCCAGGCCATCTTTAGAGACCCTGCCTGGTAACAGAGGGGTGGCCCAGCAGACCCCACCGCAACACGTGCTCTCCATGAAGGAGAACACGCTTTACCACCACCTGTACATTCTGCATTGATTTCCATCTGACCTCACAATCTATGATTCTTCTTCCAGCTATGTGTGTGTGTACCTATCAATAAAGCTAATTCTGCATGTATCGGCTGAAGAGGGCTATGGCCCATGAAAGCTTATGCCGAAATAATTTTTTCTTTAAGGTGCTACGTGATTTTAGTTTTCCCTTCTACAATTTGAACACAAACATACTGAAGGGAAGTTGAAAGGTTTTTTAAAAAATCAGTTTTTTAAAAAATGGACGATACAATATTCTCTAGTGATTTTACTGAGCTGGGTGTAAGTCTGAGACAGGTTTATTTATTATTTATTCAAAAGAATTACATTGAGTTTTAATGATGATAAATATTTTCTAGCTTCCATGGTTTATGATGACTTTATTAATTTCCTGCTTTCTCCTCCGCCCCTCCTCATGTGATGACTCATTCTTAGAATCACTGTTTACAGCTTCATACCTACACATTCCCTTCTTTAAATAACCCAGGATTCTTGGTGGTGGCATTTTGTTTTGTTTTGGTGCTTAATTTTGCATGTTAAATATATTCTTTACTTTTTTGCAATGCACATATTGTGCTCACCAACCTAATCTGTCAGCAAATTTAGTGTGCCAAAAATAATTCCCTGCGATGGACCAAATTTTAAATTTTCTCTGTGTTCATCCATTGTAAATAACAATGTAGAGTATCTACTTGGCAGCATCACTGAAAATCCTCCCGACGTTGTTTATTACTAATTACTGGCATTGCAGAGTGTTCACATCATCATGGTTAAGGTCATGTCAGCATTTCCATGATCAAATTATACTTCCAAGACTTTAAGCATTGCACACATAAGGAACAATCTGTACAATGTCTTGCAAATGGCAATAATTAAAATATAAAGCTAATATTTGTAATGGGAGCATTCATCCCCCACCCCATCAATAATTAACATATTGAATTAGTATATCATTACCAGGGATGGAGGAGAATATCATTTGACCCACATTTTTAAGTGGCCTGGCTTAATGTGCACCTCCTGAACTAATGGCTGCGCTTGTTCCTTTCTGGTTGGGGACAGAGGGTGGCACTGGGGGGGGGGGGGAGCTGTCATCGTGCTACTCCTTGGTGTGTGGAGTACCGCAGAGCGCAATTCTCTCCCCGATGCCTTTTAACATCTTTATGCGCCCCCTCGCCCAGCTTGTCCGGAGCTTTGGCTTGGGTTGTCATCAGCATACTCTATCTGTTGATGGACGGCCACCCTGACTTGGCCCCAGACACACTGATCAGATGTTTGGAAGCCATGGCTGGATGGCTAGGTGGAAGCCATTTGAAGTTAAATCCTTTGAAGACAGATGTCCTTTGGCTGGGTTGGGACGATATGGGGTTGGGGGGCCAACTCCCATCCCTTGCAGGGGTGCAATTAGTGCCAGCGCCTTCCGTCAAGAGTTTGAGTGTAATCTTTGTTCCTCCTCCTAGTAGACCTTCTTGCTTGCGCTCTCTCGCTCTCTCTCTCTCTCTCTCTCTCTCTCGTCTGCACTCGTCCCTTCTTTCCTCTCCTCGCTGCCTTCTGGCTCGCTCTCAGGGACCGCCTTGCTGTGCCGCCATCTTGGGAGCCGGTCCAGCCGAAACCAAGCAAAATCTGGGGACAAGCCCACTCCAAGCCAATTTTTGTAAGATCGTGAATATAAGCCACATGTTAACTTTTCATGGTCATAATTTTTTTGGGGGGAGGGGAGGAGTGTGGCTTATATTCGGGCCAATACATAGTACTTTTTGATAACATATCCAGTTTGATTCATATTTAGGTACGTATTTTAAAAGGAATTTAAAATACAGATTAACAAACAGAGCAGAATGTGCTTGATTCACAAAGCTGCACTTGTGATGTTGACACAGACCAGAAATAGATGAACCATCCACCCTATATCATTACAAACATGTTTGCGGCAACAGTATCTTTTCTTCTAAGCAGTGGTAGAGCACCTGCTTGGGAAAGATTTATTTAAACTAAATGCTTTCTTTAAAAAACAACAAAGTCACGCCAGCAACAACATTCCCGTTTGACCCTACCTGCTTGATCCTCGCCACGTCTATGACATCCATCCCAGGTTAAAGTAAAACCATGCTTACCGTGTGAATGGGCATTTATCAACACAAGCACTCTTGTTTACATCAAATGAGTTTGCTCATTTGCCATTAAAAAAATCCCACTGAATTTGGATAATTTTTATTATTACAATATTCATCTTGATTTCTACTAAATACCACTAAAATCGATAGACTGTTAAACCAAGGCAGATATAATAAAAGCATTTCTTCAAAAAAACTGAAAACAACAGTTTTAGAAACAACATATTAAATAAAATAAAAGTGCTTAGACTTGCCTAAAAGAGGAATGCAGGTGGCGATGTAGGTTAAACCACAGAGCCTAGGGCTTGCCGATCAAAAGTTCGGTGGTTCGAATCCCCGCGACGGAGTGAGCTCCCGTTGTTCGGTCCCACCTCCTGCCAGCCTAGCAGTTTGAAAGCACACCAGTGCAAGTAGATAAATAGGTACCGCTGCGCCAGGAAGGTAAATGGCGTTTCTGTGTGCTCTGGTTTCTGTCACGGTGTCCCATTGTGCCAGAAGATACTGTTAGGTCCATCATGAGACGTCCGCCAGCTTCCAATCACAGATACCAGCAGCCTTCAAGCAAGCAAACTTGCCTTATTAGCATCCCACTGCCAGAGGATTGCCTCCTTTCATTCACCAGTTTGCCTCCTCCAATTGGAAGAAACCTGGGCAGTGCTGAATGTCACATCCATTGCCAGGTGTGTCCTGCTGCAAATCCACTCAGTTGCCAAGTACTTTTGTGACATCACAAGAAACCCACAGCCAATGGCAACAGCTGGGGAGGCATCATCTTCATTGCTTTGAGCCTCACAATGGTGGGTGGACCTATCAGTGATTGTGTGCTTGTTTATCTGGGACACGAGAGGAGCTGTGGTCTAAACCACTGAGCCTCTTGGGCTTGCCGATTGGAAGGTTGGCAGTTCGAATCCCTGCAATGGGGTGAGCTCCTGTTGCTCTGTCCCAGCTCCTGCCACCCTAGCAGTTTGAAAGCATGAAGTACAAGTAGACAAATAGGTACCGCTCCATCGGGAAGGTAAACGGCATTTCCGTGCGCTGCTCTGGTTCACCAGTAGCAGCTTTGTCATGCTGGCCACATGACCTGGAAGCTGTATGCTGGCTTCCTCGGCCAATAAAGCGAGATGAGCGCCGCAACCCCAGAGTCTTCCATGACTAGACCTAATAGTCAGGGGTCCCTTTACCTTTACCTTTACCTTTACCTTTACCTTTAGACTTGCCTAAACAGTATATTTTTAGCAGGTAATACAACGAAAGTGACTGCCTAAAAGTAATATGCAGAATGTTCCAGTCAATAGGTGCTGCCACACTAAAATTTTGATTTTTCACAAATACAGAGCAAACATTATATAGCACATGTAAAAGTGCCAGTTCCCCAGGTAGAAGCAGTTTAGTGGGCACAGTTGGAATAATCATTGGCTTCATCGGGGCTGCTTCTTAGGACATTTGCTAATGTTGCATCTGAGCTGATGGCATTTAGGTAATACTTTGCTTTGTGTTTTGCTCTATATTTAAGATTATGGCTTTATTTTTGGACTTATTTTTCTGATCCGTTGATTGTAATAAATTGATGTTAATTATGATTGTAATAAATTGATGTTAATTATGATGATGCAATATTTGGAGTTAAGCCTTATGAATATTGTCAAAATGGCTTCAATGCAGCTAAGTAATGAATTGAGCTAGAATTCTCTCAACTACAGTGAAACAGCAGTGGAAATAAAGTATTTATCATGTTTCATGTTCAGTCAGAACATTAGCACGGTATTTCATGTCTTTATTTGGCTGAGGTTTCTAATAATGTAGAGTAATTTAAATGTCAATATTTGTCAATGATAAGTGAATGAGAGAAAATGAATGTCTGTGCATTTAATAATAATATAAAAAAGATGTCATGTATCTTCTGGTGTTGAGAAAGTATATCGTAACTGAATATCAATGCCAGCAATCATTCACTATAGTAAAAGTCTGGGAAGTTGTGAATTATTTGATTTTCCTCAAGTCCACAGGCAATTTTAAAAAGTCATTTTTAAGGCCAGGTTTAGATGATGCTATAAAGGCTTGTCCTTCTAAACGCTAGTCAAACTTCTTTTTGCCAAAGTAAAAAGTCTCAGCCAGAAAGCGCAGAGGCCCCTTGTGGTTTTCAAGCTCTCTTGGGAAATAAGAAAGAGCTTTGATTCCCTCTGTCTAGCTTTCATTTTCTGACATATATCCAAATCAGAAAGGCTGGGGCTGACATGGACTGTTTTACAGCCAACACAACTGAATTTAGGTTGGGGACGCTTCATACACACAAAGATAGACACCTCTTATATTAATGGGGTTGACATGCTTGTTTCCATCATGTCCATCTTGTTGCCTTTTGGGGACCAACTGATTTATACATGAGCCACTGAAGCATTTAGTTTGCAAAATAGTTTTAAACTAGGTTTATTGTTTTAATCTTTATTCTGCTGGGCTGCATGCTATTGCCGTCGATACTGCTGTTTTTATCACTATTTCATTGCTGATTCCAACACTGTTTTATGATTTAAACTAAGTATTGGTTGTAGTTCATATGGTGGCAGCCAACCTTTGAGGGGTTTATCATAAAATGAGGCCTAAGCTGTCTATGAAATTATAATTGGCACCTTAATAAGAATATAGCAAGGTGGAATACACATATAAGGATAAAACTGTTTTGAAAAACCATAGAAACAGAATTAAAAACTTCAGTTAAAATCAATACATGGTGATTTGTTTAAAAAAAAAATAATGATACTGGAAATGCCTGTTTCCAAAAGACATCTGAAGGAAGTGAAGGATGGTTCTACTTGTAGGAGTTCCTCAGGACAGGGGCTACCACCCCTGGGTTAGTCCCAAGTGAAGGCCAACTGAACCTCAGGAGCACGGGGACCACCAGAACTGTCCCATCAGAAGATCTCAGTGGTTGAGGTGGAGTATAAGGATTCAGGTGATGATGGAGTACAAGAGCCATGATCCCCAGATGTGAATTCTTTCCACCAAATAAGAGGCCCAACAGACCTCTTCTCTGGTTGAAAAAAATGCTAGGAACTCCATTGGCTAATCACCCAGGGATCATGGGCCTTGCACTTCAACCTCATCATCCATAGTGGAGAAACATGCCCAGAGTGTCATTTTCTATGAAAGGCTTCTCCCATCTTCTCTGGTGTCCTCCACAACCTGCGAGCTGTTCCTCTAAGAAGGTTTTTATTTGTTTGTTTGTTCCCTTTGCAAAAAAGAGGGAGTGTGAATGTATCAAATGAGTTGGCAATTCACTGTGCGCTTTGAGAAATGTCACCAAACACCCTGAGGACTTTCTTGTGAGTTTTGAGCACTAAGCAGTAATGCAAGAGGGGCACAATTGCTTTGGGATGAAAGTACTTTGGTGCTTATCCTTTCCAAATGGTTTGCAAAGCCCTCTCATCAAATAAAGTGGGGGTAATAATTTTTAACAATGCGGCACACATAGATTTATCGCTTTTGAGGCAATGTTTCTAAGCCAAGGAAGTGCTGGCGAGGGGCGGAGAGGAGTGTTCAGCTGAACAAATGAAAATCGTTGAGCTCAGAATACACTAAGCAAGACAAATACGATTAGTTCAAGGTGTTCCCACAGAATGAGGAGAAACAATGCCGATAAGGGAAGATGCCTTTTACCAGAGGTACTTTGATTTCAATCTCCAAAGTGACAGGCTAATAAAATGTATTTGCTTACCTTCTTTGTCTCCCTGGTAAACATTCCCAGGGAAAATGTTTGTCTGATTACAAAATCAAGGACTATATTATACCCATCAGTTAAAGTAAGCTATGTTGAAAGGAGCCACAGTGCTATATATATAATTAAAATGACTGTATATTCCTGTCCTGATGCAAACTATGCCTGAGCTGTTTTTGCATCTGAAGTGAAATAACATAATGAAATTCCTCTCTTGCTCATATCTCCAGAGATGGAAGATGCAGGCAGAAAAATAATGCCTGCAGTGTAACTTGTTGCCCAATGTGAATTCCTAACATCATTTCATGTTAAGGTCAGCCCTGTTGAGAAGGCAAGCTTCTTTTCATGTTACTTACTCGTATCTAGAACCCATAAATATTCCTGTCTACACAGTATGTAAAGAAAGGTACAGAACCAACATGAGCTCCATTTTTCATAGGTGGATTCCCATATAGTTGGTCTGGATCCTAAGTTAACTGAAGAAGGTTTGTGGGAAATAAGTTTTCCATTCCCTCCTCCCCTCTGCAGACACCTGTGTCCCAGGAATGACCGCTCCCCACATAAAATGGGGGGCGCCTTTTGTGTGGTTGTGTATAGCCCCCCCATCCCAGTGTGGCTCAGCCCAGTACAGGCTGGCTTCATCCTCCCCAGGCTGGATACCTGGAGGTCTTTGCTTACCACTGCCAATCGCCCAATCCTGCCTGGGGAGGTGTTGCCAGGGCATCGATCAGGTAGAGGGAGGGACCGCCCTGCCAACAACAACTGAACGTGAACCTTACCTGTGAAGCATCAGGAAAAGCCTCTTTGGAGCCTTGTGGGGTAAAGTCTTCAACAATGTGGGATGGGGTATAGGGGCATCCTCTATAAGAAGAAGAAGAAGAGTTTGGATTTGATATCCTGCTTTATCACTACCCGAAGGAGCCTCAAAGCGGCTAACATTCTCCTTTCCCTTCCTCCCCGAAAACAAACACTCTGTGAGCTGAGTGGGGCTGAGAGACTTCAAAGAAGTGTGAGTAGTCCAAGGTTACCCAGCAGCTGCATGTGGAGGAGCGGAGACGTGAAATTCATCAGATTACAAGTCTACCGCTCTTAACCACTACACCACACTGGCTCTCGAGAAAAATGTCCAAAAATTGGAAGTTATCTTAAGGAAATTCAGAGAAGAAATCCTTCCCCCAGAATTTCCCATCCTATCCCATGTTGTTCAGGAATGACCCTTACGATGAGTTAGCCTTCCATGAGCTTCCTTTAACTTATCTTAATATCTTAGCGAATTGCAACCCGTGTGTGTGCAGACGTGCCGCTGTGGGTTGCGCTCTTTTCATGTTGCAAGCGGGCCTCCGGAACGAATCCCGCTCGCAACCAGAGGTACCACTGTAAATCATTTCCCAGTAATTTTTACTTATTTTGCAATTCCACCACATATGAAAAAAGTGCCTTCTTTTTCTTTACACTTCAAACACTTATTGGAGACTGTTCTATACATTTTTGCTATTTTTGAAGGTGTTTTTTTTTTTAAAAAAACTGCATCACATCTTGAATGGCTTGTGGGAAAAGAATACTCTCCTCAGAGTGGACCACTGAATAGCTCAGTTGGTTAGAGTGTGGTGCTGATAATAGCAAGGTTGCAGGTTCAATCCTCATATGGGACAGTGACATATAAGAGAGCCAGCATGGTGAAGTGGTTAAAAGCGGTGGACTCATAACCTGTGAACTGGGCTCGCGTCTCCGCTCCTCCACATGCAGCTGCTGGGTGACCTTGGGCCAGTCACACTTCTTTGAAGTCTCTCAGCCCCACTCACCTCACAGAGTGTTTGTTGTGGGGGAGGAAGGGAAAGGAGAATCTTAGTCTGAGGGTAGTGATAAAGCGGGATATCAAATCCAAACACTTCATATTCCTGTACTGAAGGGACTGGGACTAGATGATTCTCAGGGTCCCTTCCATCTCTATGATTCTATGATCTTTTCTATACATGTGTAGTGTAAGCACCCATGTGCCTAACTCTTTCAGGCACCTATGCAACATTCAGTCCCCACATTAATCTGTTTGCACTGACGTCTCCATTTTATAATCTCACGATGTTCTCTGGGTACCAGCTTAAACAATAGCGTTTTCTATCATTGCTTCATGTGGAGAATCTATTAAGCTCTGTGATAACAGGTTCATCTGCTCAGTTTATTTCCCATATGCTGTACATTTAAGTGTTTGCCCCGATTGCTAGGATAAAAATAAAGGACACAATCTTTCATATTTTTTTTTTTATTTTGGTATAATGATACAAATGCCATCATGCCCTCAGATGAACATAGCTTATGCAGCCCTGGCTTCAAATTGCTCTCTTTAAGAAAATATCTCACAAATTTGGCTCTGCTAAGGAAAGAAATCTGTACTGATAATGGGCTTAACAGTTGCGTAGAGATATACAGACTGTTTAGCAATGGAAGGACAGATTCTACATGGCCTCTACCCAGATGCAGACCTTTAGGGTATCTACCTTCAGTGTTTAGGAAAGTGCAAAGACAGCTTTCTCCCCTTTCCATTACAAGGTTGTATGATGACCCTGAAGCAGGGACAAGATTGACTTCATTTTTCTCCAGCCTTGCATACCAATGAATGCAAGCAGCTGCACTCTCGCTGCAGCCAGACTTCTATCATGTGCAAAGAATTAAGAATGTCTCCTAGGACAATGCCTCTGTACTCCTTTCTCTGCTCCACCGCACTCTGCTGACTTCATCAGATCCAACTCTAGATGAGTCCATGCCTTAACAGTATGGCGTTGATGCTTGCCAGGAAATGTACTGCTGCCTTTCTTGTGGTTCTTCCTCATTTTAAGATCCATGACTGAGCAGCGAATACATTTTGATCACATAAGGAACGCTATCTATCTATTATCTACCACCCATCATTTATCTATCTGTCGTACTACATCTTTTCAGACATCACAGTTGAAATCAGCTTTTGTTATACTCAATTTTGCATTCCTTTGCGGGTTCATTGTGGCTACTGTATATGTGCATCTGCTGTAGAAGAACTTGAAAAATTGGGGGGAAGTGACCGAGAGGATCTATAGGTCCCCTGTGCAAAGGCTAAAGGTGTGGTTTCATCAGCCGATGGGTTTCCATCAGGCGATGGGTTATGAATCCCATCGCCTTCATAACCCCAGGACTAGTTTCTCCACCCTACCTAAGATAATTTCCTGTAGCCTTTCATTGCCAGAGTAATTCCATGGCAAAATGATAGGTGCATGTATTGGCAACCCATGCTAGGAGTCTTTTTGGCAGCTTGGCAGAGGGCTGAAATAACTTTGCTTTTATTATATTTTTAATTTTTTAAATGTTTTTATTAGCAATTTCAGCATAACTTATCAAAACATATCACATTCATTATTTTTCTCCCTTCCCCCACCCCCTCAAACCCTCCCTCCCCTCCCCCAGAGACTTCCCTCAGCTCCTCTCTCTGACTTCTCAACACATATTATTCTTTGCATGCTATAAAATTATGCAAATCCTACATTATCTATCCGCCATGTTATCAATCAATAAATTTGTGTATGTTTATTCAAAACCTGCCAAGGAGTCCAATTCATTTTGTTGTCTTTTTAGTAATTTGTGAAAAGTTCCCATTCTTGTTTAAAGTCACAGTTGTCCTTATCTTGTAGTTCATATGTCAGTTTCGCCAGTTCTGCATAGTTCATCAGTTTCTCTTGCCACTTTTCTTTTGTCGGGGTTTCCTCATTCTTCCATCCTTGTGCTATCAAGACTCTTGCTGCTGTTGTAGCATACATAAATAAATTCTTTATTTTCCTTGGCAGGTCTTGTCCTACAATCCCTGACAAAAATGCTTCTTGTTTTTTTTAACAAATGTCATTTGCTAGAACCTCCAAATAACTTTGCTTTTATAACCTATAGGTAGAATTCCCTAGTTCTTTATGCCAGATTCCACCAGCAGACCCCAAGGCTTTACGCCAATGTACAGGTGTATTACCAAGTAATAAAGCAAAATCCAGGTTCCTCTCCTCATATATAAAAATGCTAATCCATGACAATACTTTATACCTTAAGAGAATCATCAACAGCTATGCTTAGAACAGTGATGGCCAAACTTGGCCCTCCACTTGTTTTTGGACTACAATTCCCATCATCCCTGACCACTGGTCCTGTTAGCTAGGGATGATGGGAGTTGTAGTCCCAAAACATCTGGACGGCAGAGTTTGGCCATCACTGGCCTAGAATAATATATATGCCAATACAACAAATAAATACAATAAGAAACATCCTGCTGCATCTGAGAAAGCACAACCAGATGCCTTCATCTGCCCCAACTGCAACAAAACATGTCTCTCCCGTATCGGTCTGTGTTGCCACAGCAAGTGCTACTGTAACCTTCCAATAGTTTGACTTCACCATAAAAGGCTCACTCTTCCCTTGTCTCCCCAGACAGACGGGTACTAACAACAATAACAAAATATCCCCTTGCTTTTTTTAAAGATCAAATTACCTGGAAACCAAAACACCCCATCGTCAAGAGTGCTCATACGTCTTCATGTTCTAAAAAATCTACCAAAATTATCATTTGGTAATTTTTGAGATTCAAATACCGTTTATCTAATTGTTCATATTTAATTGGTGAGTTATTCAATGTAGCTTACAATATGGTATCCACCACTGTGTGGGACAATTTAAAGGTGCTTCCACCAGGTGACTTTAGATGTGTATGTGTTTTTTGTGTTTGTTTGTTTCAATCAAGCAATAAAAAACATCCCATTAATTAAATAAAAATACCTGTGATTGAGTATCATTTCAGGGGATTCTAAAAGTAAATTATTATTGTTCATTTCATTTATATACTGCTTTATATTTTTTTTTGGGGGGGGGGATCTCAAAGCAGTTTACAACCTACATTAAAACATCAAATAAAACAGCCCAGAATGAAACATTACTGAAGACAGTCAAATCTAAAGCATACATTTAAAGACAATTAACACTCATTCAAACATAATTAACAGGAAACGAAAATGTTATCCTAAACATTTAAAAACAAAAACAAAAAACGTACGCCAGAGGAGGTCAGCTGCAGAATGCACATTTAGCAGAGCAAAGTTAACAAAAAATTATCTTAAACATTTCAAAAGAAGTTACAGGTAGGTAGCCATGTTGGTCTGCTGGAGTCAAAACAAAATAAAAAAAATTCATTCCAGTAGCACCTTAGAGACCAACTAAGTTTGTTATTGGTATGAGCTTTCGTGTGCATGCACACTTCTTCAGATACCTATGGAAGGCACCACATTGAGCTGCATGAAATGGAAGTCCATCAACCTCACTGATATCTGAAGAAGTGTGCATGCACATGAAAGCTTATACCAATAACAAACTTAGTTGGTCTCTAAGGTGCTACTGGAAGGAATTTATTATTATTATTATTTCAAAAGAAAGCACTACTAAGTGAAGTCAAATATAAAAGGCACATTTGAAACAGCATAGCTGGGAAAAGAATAAAATATTCTCATAAGCATAGAACATATCTGCTGCTGTAGCTTCAAATCCAGCCAATGATGGTTCATGGCAGGGACTACGGGTGCTCATGCTCAATGTGCCAGGTATGCACAAAAAGGCAACCAAGAGAGTCTCTGGCCTCTTCAGCAGCCTCAGCTTTTGTAGCTGGAGTCAGTCCAGGCTCCGCCCTCCCAGTCCTGGTAGAAAAAGGCCTGCAAGGCAGGGAGCAGGTCTTCCAGGACTCACAGCCAACCCAACTTAGATGAGCAGAAGCACTTTTCCAGGCAAATGGCAGACATAAGCGGGGGTTTTTTTAATGTTGTCAACAAGCAACATTCAGTTTGAAGAGTGTGTTTTTGGGGTGTGTGTATATTTGTAGGGTGTGAAGTAATGTTACAGTACATTCACTAATGGAGAAAAACATTATTCATCAATGTCTTGGTTTCTCTTTTTCTCTCCTTAGGACAGGCAAAATAGAACATCAGATAAAATAATAATAATAATAATTTATTACTTATACCCCGCCCATCTGGCTGGGCCTCCCCAGCCACTCTGGGCGGCTTCCAACAAGAGATTAAAAATACACTGAAACATCAGTCATTAAAAACTTCAATAAACAGGGCTGCCTTCAGATGTCTTCTAAACGTCAGATAGTTGTTTATTTCTTTGACATCGGATGGGAGGGCATTCCACAGGGCAGGCACCACTACCGAGAAGGCCCTCTGCCTGGTTCCCTGTAAAAGCCACTATATATTTTGCATACTATTCCTTTTCACACTTTTTAAAATGTACTGGAGAGTATTTCTTTTATATATTTCTCCCTTCTTCTTTTTTTACAAACTGTGAAAGAAGACATGTGCCCAAATGAAATGCAATATGGGTTATCATGAAAGTTTCTAAAAACATATTTTTTCATTAATATAATTACAGTTAATTTTTTCCTTTTTTTCTTTTTTCCTATAATCCACTGTGAGCCTTAGGAAAAGGGCAGGAGAGAAATACGAATTAATTCAGCTGGTAATTACGCACCCATTATGCCAGATGTTTAGATATTATCACAATCTCACCGGACTGTTCCATCAGTTGATTCTAGGCTATATTTTAACAACTAAATTAGAACATGTCATCCACCTCACATGGATATCCAAATCTTCAAGTGCTCGTTTTTGTCATTCCCTGCCAAAAAAAGCAAAAGCAGAACACAACACACTTCTAGTTTTCTAAAATTATTATTTTTCTGCTGATTTGGAAATGTTCCAAGACTACATAAATTAGATTTTTGAATGCCAGGCAATACTACAGGGAGCACTAGTATGGCATCCATGGTACCAGTGTGCCTATCAGAACTTCACTGAATGTCCTGAATAACTTTTTCCAACTCTTTCTGCCTTGGGTTAAGTAATATTCACGTTCCAGCATCTTTCTCTCAGTCCCTTTCTCTCCCCACCTTTCGTACATGTACCCAAACTGTTCTGCAGCAAATTTATTTGCATTCCACCTTCCCTGTTTATCCTAATTCAGCTTCACATATGTCTTCCTGGCATCTTCCAATTGGCATTGGGTCTTCTAATCTTTGGCACCCTTTAGCCTTACCCAAATAATTGCCAATCAAGTTTAAATATACAGTGATACCTCTGGTTACATAAGCTTCAGGTTACATACACTTCAGGTTAAAGACTCTGCTAACCCAGAAATATTACCTCGGATTAAGAACTTTGCTTCAAGATGAGAACAGAAGTTGTGCTCTGGCAGCACAGCAGCAGCAGGAGGCCCCATTAGCTAAAGTGGTGCTTCAGGTTAAGAACAGTTTCAGATTAAGAACGGACCTCCAGAACGAATTAAGTACTTAACCCGGGGTACCACTGTAGTGCTATTTTTCTAGAAAAAGAGTTGCTGAACTCACCATGAACTCTTCTCTTGTTCTCTTATAATGGCAATGGCGCCCACCTGAGAGATGCCAGAACTGAGTTCCAGTGAATTCTGGCTGGAGAGAAAAAAAGATGCCCAAACTGTACAGAAATTTATTTATGTATGCTACTACAGCAGCAAGAATGTTGTTGTTTAGTCATTTAGTCATGTCCGACTCTTCGTGACCCCATGGACCAGAGCACGCCAGGCACTCCTGTCTTCCACTGCCTTCCGCAGTTTGGTCAGACTCATGTTTGTAGCTTCGATAACACTGTCCAACCATCTCGTCCTCTGTTGTCCCCTTCTCCTTGTGCCCTCCATCTTTCCCAGCATCAGGGTCTTTCCCAGGGAGTCTTCTCTTCTCATGAGATGGCCAAAATATTGGAGCCTCAGCTTCACGATTTGTCCTTCCAGTGAGCACTCAGGGCTGATTTCCTTCAGAATGGATAGGTTTGATCTTCTTGCAGTCCATGGGACTCTCAAGAGTCTCCTGCAGCACCATAACTCAAAAGCATCAATTCTTCGGTGATCAGTCTTCTTTATGGTCCATCTCTCACTTCCATACATCACTACTGGGAAAACCATGGCTTTAACTATATGGACCTTTGTTGGCAAGGTGATGTCTCTGCTTTTTAAGATGCTGTCTAGGTTTGCCATTGCCTTTCTCCCAAGGAGCAGACATCTTTTAATTTCGTGACTGCTGTCACCATCTGCAGTGATCATGGAGCCCAAGAAAGTAAAATCTCTCACTGCCTCCATTTCTTCCCCTTCTATTTGCCAGGAGGTGATGGGCCCAGTGGCCATGATCTTCGTTTCTTTGATGTTGAGCTTCAGACCATCTTTTGCGCTCTCCTCTTTCACCCTCATTAAAAGGTTCTTTAATTCCTCCTCACTTTCTGCCATCAAGGTTGTGTCATCTGCATATCTGAGGTTGTTGATATTTCTTCCGGCGATCTTAATTCCGGCTTGGGATTCATCCAGCCCAGCCTTTCGCATGATGAATTCTGCATATAAGTTAAATAAGCAGGGAGACAATATACAGCCTTGCCGTACTCCTTTCCCAATTTTGAACCAATCAGTTGTTCCATATCCAGTTCTAACTGTAGCTTCTTGTCCCACATAGAGATTTCTCAGGAGACAGATGAGGTGATCAGGCACTCCCATTTCTTTAAGAACTTGCCATAGTTTGCTGTGGTCGACACAGTCAAAGGCTTTTGCATAGTCAATGAAGCTGAAGTAGATGTCTTTCTGGAACTCTCTAGCTTTCTCCATAATCCAGCGCATGTTTGCAATTTGGTCTCTGGTTCCTCTGCCTTTTCTAAATCCAGAATGCACTTCTGGGAGTTCTCGGTCCACATACTGCTTAAGCCTGCCTTGTAGAATTTTAAGCATAACCTTGCTAGCGTGTGAAATGAGTGCAATTGTGCGGTAGTTGGAGCATTCTTTGGCACTTCCCTTCTTTGGGATTGGGATGTAGACTGATCTTCTCCAATCCTCTGGCCACTGCTGAGTTTTCCAAATTTGCTGGCATATTGAGTGTAGCACCTTAACAGCATCATCTTTTAAAATTTTAAATAGTTCAGCTGGAATATCATCACTTCCACTGGCCTTGTTATTAGCAATGCTTTCTAAGGCCCATTTGACTTCACTCTCCAGGATGTCTGGCTCAAGGTCAGCAACCACACTACCTGGGGTATACGAGACATATATTTCTTTCTGGTATAGTTCCTCTGTGTATTCTTGCCACCTCTTCTTGATGTCTTCTGCTTCTGTTAGGTCTTTTCCACTTTTGTCTTTTATTATGGAAATCTTTGTGCGAAATGTTCCTTTCATATCTCCAATTTCCTTGAACAGATCTCTGGTTTTTCCCATTCTATTGTTTTCCTCTATTTCTTTGCATTGCTCATTTAAGAAGGCCTTCTTGTCTCTCCTTGCTATTCTTTGGAAATTGCATTCAGTTTCCTGTATCTTTCACTATTTCCCTCACATTTTGCTTGCCTTCTCTCCCCCGCTATTTGTAAGGCCTCGTTGGACAGCCACTTTGCTTTCTTGCATTTCCTTTTCATTGGGATGGTTTTAGTTGCTGCCTCTTGTATAATGTTACGAGCCTCCATCCATAGTTCTTCAGGCACTCTGTCCACCAAATATAAATCCTTAAACCTGTTCCTCACTTCCACTGTGTATTCATAAGGGATTTGACTTAGATTGTATCTTGCCGGCCTAGTGGTTTTTCCTACTTTCTTCAGTTTAAGCTTGAATTTTGCTATAAGAAGCTGATGATCTGAGCCACAGTCAGCTCCAGGTCTTGTTTTTGCTGACTGTATAGAGCTTCTCCATCTTTGTCTGCAGAGAATATAATCAATCTGATTTCGATGCTGCCCATCTGGTGATGTCCATGTGTAGAGTCGTCTCTTGTGTTGTTGGAAAAGGGTGTTTGTGATGACCAGCTTGTTCTCTTGGCAGAACTCTATTAGCCTTTGCCCTGCTTCATTTTGAACGCCAAGGCCAAACTTGCCAGTTGTTCCTTTTATCTCTTGACTCCCTACTTTAGCATTCCAATCCCCTATAATGAGAAGAACATCCTTCTTTGGTGTCATTTCTATAAGGTGTTGTAAGTCTTCATAGAATTGGTCAATTTCAGTTTCTTCAGCACCAGTGGTTGGTGCATAAACTTGGATTACTGTGATGTTAAAAGGTCTGCCTTGGATTCGTATCAAGATCATTCTATCATTTTTGAGATTGCATCCCAATGCAGCTTTTGCCACTCTTTTGTTGACTATGAGGGCCACTCCATTTCTTTTACGGGATTCTTGCCCACAGTAGTAGATGTGATGGTCATCCGAACTGAATTCGCCCATTCCCGTCCATTTTAGTTCACTGATGCCCAGGATGTCAATATTTATTCTTGCCATCTCATTTTTGACCACATCCAACTTACCAAGGTTCATGGTTCTTACATTCCAGGTTCCTATGCAATATTTTTCTTTACAGCATTGGACTTTCCTTTCGCTTCCAGGCATATCCGCAACTGAGCGTCCTTTCGGCTTTGGCCCAGAAGCTTCATCAGCTCTGAATCTACTTGTACTTGTCCTCCACTCTTCCTCAGTAGCATGTTGGACGCCTTCCGACCTGAGGGGCTCATCTTCCAGCGTCATAACTTTTATATGCCTGTTGTCTTTGTCCATGGAGTTTTCTTGGCAGGGATGCTGGAGTGGTTTGCTGGTTCCTGCTCCAGGTGGATCACGTTTGGTCAAAACTCTCCACTATGACCTGTCCATCTTGGGTGGCCCTGCACGGCATAGCTCATAGCTTCTCTGAGTTATTCAAGCCCCTTTGCCACGGCAAGGCAGTGATCCATGAAGGGGGCGAGAATGTTACTTGCCCCAAAATGGAAAGAAGCAGAAGTCCCAGCAAAGGAAGAATAGATACAAAAGCTTATGGAATATTCAGAAATGACGAAACTTACCAGAAAAATAAGAAATGAAGTTAGCAAACTTTCTTTTTATATATATAAAAGAATGGAAATGGCTTATTGAATATTTACAGATAAATTGTAAACAGATAAGAACATTGGCAAGTTTATTGTAATAACCTGCAGTTTCATAAGAGTAGGTGAATAAATGAACAAATTAAGTTAATTTGGATATGCAGAAGATATTAAAAATAAATTTAAAGAAGTGCAGAAAGAGGAGGAAGGAAGTCGTTTTGAAATGTTAAAAAGACTGTAAAATTATTATTATAAACCTGAAAATCATATTTTATTTTTTTTAAAAAAAGCCCTGCCAATCTTTTCTTTTTGGAAAAAAAACCCTTCACATTAACCAACCTTGGGGTAATTGTTGGTTTCTCCCCCCTCCCAATAAATTGTATATTCATTTTCCCCTGAGCTTTGCTTTGCCACCTGATTCCTGATTCTTCCTTGTATTAGTGCAATTGGTCCTGTGGACTCGAAAGACATGCCATATGTTCCTTCTGTATATGGTCATCTCCTACATGTGTAGATGTGGGCATGTGGTAACAACTATCACACAACAACATGGCTGAACAGCCTACGATGTTATGAGATCCCAAGGATAGCTCCCCTTCAGTAGCCGATTGCACCCGTGACCTGTAAGAAGTTGGGTGGCTGGATGCTCTTTCGCTGCAAAAGTGCCCCAGGTTGCTTACTTGACTAGCATCTGTTTACTTCCCTCCCTCGCGGGTGGCGCTGTGGGTTAAACCACAGAGCCTAGGACTTGCCGATCAGAAGGTCGGCGGTTCGAATCCCCCCGATGGGGTGAGCTCCTGTTGCTTGGTCCCTGCTCCTGCCAACCTAGTACTTTGAAAGCATGCCAAAGTGCAAGTAGATAAATAGGTACCGCTCCAGCGGGAAGGTAAACAGTGTTTCCGTGCACTGCTCTGGTTTGCCAGAAGCGGCTTAGTCATGCTGGCCACATGACCCGGAAGCTGTACACCGGCTCCCTCAGCCAAAAAAGCGAGATGAGTGCCGGAACCCCACAGTCGGCCACGACTGGACCAAATGGTCAGGGGTCCCTTTACCTTTACCTTTACTTCCCTCCCTAACCACAACAAATCTTGTCATTAGAAGAAGAAAAACCCAGTTAAATTGCTATAATATTGCCTAAGAAATACTGCAGCATGGAACAGGGATGAAAGGTGCTCTCTTTTGCAAATCCTGAAGCACACTTCAAAAGCGCCTACTTAGTCTCCTGAAGTGGCAACTGGGTAATCCAATGCTACAGTTTTGGGGGTGGGCTGGGCTTCAGATCAGACAAATGCTCAGAGAGGGACGAGACATGCCTGGCATTCAGATAGTTCCAGGCTCAATCTTTGGCATCTCTAGTTAAAAGAATCAGATAGCAGGTGGCGGGGAAGATTTCTGCCATAGACCCCGGAGACATGGTGTCAGTCAGGGTAGACAGTACTACAATAGGTGAACAAACAACCCAGCTAGACGCAAGGCAGCTTTCTATGGCAGCAGTGTGAAAAAGCTTTCCCGTGATATGGCTACAAATCCTTTAACTAAAATATAGGTCTCTCAAAGATCCCACAGTCTTCCAAGAAAATTGTGTACCTTGGCATATCTAATTTGAAACACCATTTGTCTAAGTGTCCCTGTTAAATGGAACAATAGTTATTCTAGCAAATTGTGAGCTGATTTAACATTTAACTATAGCCTGGTAAAACATGAAACAGACAGTTCAGTATAATGCATTTAACCTCTTCCCCATTTTCCTAAAGCAACCGGTCTTATTGTTCTCTCACTTTGAACAAGGGAAGCAAATTATAAGAGTCTGACTTAACTCACAGCTGAGCAACAGAATTAAACTTCCCATCTTGACGCTGCAGCTTTGCTTCCTTTAGATATGTCTATTTGCTTCCAATTAATGTTAATTGAAGCTATAGGTGTGCAATGGGATATAGCCCTTAACCATCATTGCCTTGTCAGTGTACATTAAATACCTTAGGTGGAAAAGTTCTCTCTTTGACTAAAATACAGTGGTACCTTGTTTAAGAACAGCCTATTTTATGAACAACTTGGATTAAGAACGCTGCAAACCCGGAAGTAGGTGTTTTGGTTTGTGAACTTTGCTTTGGAAGCATAACATGTTGAGCATGTTCCATTTGTAAATTGAGTCCCCCGCTGCTATGGGAAAGCACACCTTGGTTTAAGAACGCTTTGGTTTAAGAATGGACTTCCGGAACGGATTAAGATTGAAACCAAGGTACCACTGTATTATTGAAATCCTGGGACTTGAAAAGGAAAAGGTGGGTTTTGGTGGGGGTATTTTTTGCATTCCTAAATGTATAATTCTAATGTGATTGCATATACAAAGGAAGAGCTTAAAGGAGATATAAATTCTAAATATATATATATATATTGGTGATGAAAAATTCCAAAGAAATGTATGCTACAATAAACCATTAATCTCATAGTTTATCCATATACTTCAGTAGTTTAATGTGCTTACTACTGTGCTTTAAATGATTTTTCTCAAGGAACTTTTGTTTGGGAGGGATGTCCCCACAAAAAACTTAATATTTAAAAAGAACAAAAAAATGAATGTGTACTGAATTTGGTAAGTCAGCTACAGTGGTTCCTATATGTCACAGAAATTATGTAACTGTTTGCCTTTCAGACTGATATATATATTTCCATCTTGCAGATATGAATTAGTGATTTGAAAAACTGAACACAATCACAAAGGGAGCCCTTGACAAAGCCAGTTGCACTACACAGCTGCTGCTGCTGCAGGAACTAACAATATGTTCACTTCTGAATTTATTAAAAGGGGATCGCAGGCAACATCCCAAAAGCTTGAAAAGGGAAACAGTAGGTACCAAAAACCAAATATAAAATATGTAGTCAAAGGGTTTGGTGTACAGTAGATGTTAAAGGTAAAAGGTAAACAAGCCCTGGACGGTTAGTCCAGTCAAAGGTGCTCATCTTGCTTTCAGGCTGAGGGAGTTGGCATAGTCCAAAGATAGCTTTCCGGGTCATGTGGCCAGCTTCTGGCACAACGGAACACCATAATGGAAATCAGAGTGCACGGAAATACCATTTATCTTCCCTCCACAGCGGTACTTCTTTATCTACTTGCACTGGTGTGCTTTCAAACTGCTCAGTTGGCAGGAGCTGGGACAGAGCAACAGGAGCTCACCCTGTCGCGGGGATTCAAACCGCTGACCTTCCGATTGGCAGGCCCAAGAGGCTCAGTGGTTTAGATCACAGTGCCACCTGCATCCCGAATAAACAAGCACACAATCACTGATAGGTCCACCTGCCATTGTGAGACTCAAAGCAATGAAAATGATGTGTCCTCAGCTGTTGCCATTGGCTGTGGATTTCTTGTGATGTCACAAAAGCACTTGGCAACTGAGTGGATATAAAGTCAGGCCAAGGGGAAAGCCCCTTTCTATTTCCAGCAGGGCACACCTGGCAATGGATGTGACATTCAGCCCTGCCCAGGTTTCTTCCACTTGGAGGAGGCAAACTGGTGAATGGAAGGAGGCAATCCTCTGGCAGTGGGATGCTAGGGAGTGAGAATAAGGCAAGTTTGCTTGCTTGAAGGCTGCTGGTATCTGTGATTGGAAGCTGGCGGACGTCTCATGATGGACCTAACAGTAGCTTCTGGCACAATGGGACACCATGATGGAAGCCAGAGCACACGAAACACCATTTACCTTCCTGCTGCAGTGGTATCTATTTATCTACTTGCACTGGCATGCTTTCGAACTGCTAGCTTGGCAGGATCTGGGACAGAGCAATGGGAGCTCACCCCATCACAGGGATTCAAACCTCCCACCTTCTGATCAGCAAGCCCAAGAGACTCAGTGGTTTAGACCATAGCACCACCCGCGTTCCCACAGTAGATGACACACCTCCCAACTCCATAGTTGAGTCAATAGATTTGCCAGTAGAAGGCTGCCAGATGATGCACCTCTCTCTCTTCTGCTCTTCCTGTTGGATTCATCCCACTCAACCCAAAGAAAATGTTGTCCCAAGAGCAAGGGAACCTTGATGAGTGGCATAGACTAATTGCAGGGGAAGATGGCAGAAAACCAGATAGTGGCATATTATTCTGCATTGACAGAAGATTCATTCACCTGATTTTCTACCACCACCCCTTTCCCCCTTATCCACCCATCCCATCCCAAGTCCCACTCAGATTTCCCGGAATCTAAGGGGAGCATTTGGGGAAGCTCTGGGGAAGCAAGGAGAAGAAAAGATGGGAAAATCAGCTTCTTCCAGACTTGTTACACAGATATTCTCTGCAGGCAGCCCACTGATTTCATGATTCCATGTGCTGCATGTCTGAATATAGTGAGACTTCCTTCCTTTTTTGTATAGATGTTTCATATTTTAGCCATTTCCTTAAACCACACACACTTCAACAGAACAGTGATTCAGTGAGCTGTGCCCTGGCAGAGGACAACGAACAACTCTAGCAGAAATCCAACACTTTCCTGTGTTTTGATTTCTTCTCTTTAACCTGGAGCCCCTGGCTGTTAGCCTGTGAAAGAGAAAGGAGGAGAGAAAGGAGAAGACTCACCGTCTGCCTCTTCCTTGGCACCTTCTAGCTCTGTTGGTTTGGGAACATCAATCACACTTCTAGGAGTAGCTACATGGCTGCTGTTCCCTACACATCTGCTGCTGCTGGACCCAGTGCCACAAAGCAACAGTAAAAGCGAACATAATGGTCTTCCTAAGAACAGAAGCAGAGTTGTTAGCATTGAAGCCAGTCTAAGGTGGGCGGGGAGAAGCTAGCAATGCTTTGCAATGCAGTATCGTTTGCTGAACCAAAAGCATTCTAGAAGAATAAATGCAGGAACTCACAAAGACAGAATCAACTAGCCGACAAAAAATTTTAAATTATGTTTTTATTATAGTTTGTGTCTTATAATCTGCCTTAATATCGCATCATGCCACTCCAATCTCTGATCATGTTTCCTTTGGGGATGAAGCATAGTGGAGACCGTGGTTCCTTTATGACGTATGGTTTATTTGCACATATCGACAACCTGAGCCTATATGGGAGGGGTTCATATCTTTAGCACCCCAAGAGGGTCTCGTTTATTTATTTTATTTATTTATTTATTTATTTATTTATTTACGGCTATTAGCCCATAAAGTATGTACAAACATAAAAGCACAGAGGCATAAAGACTAATATATTCGGCACCAGAAGGTGAACACCATGATGCAGGGGTGGGTCATTGAGCAGAGCCAGATAACAGCTTGGGGCCCGGAGAGCTCCAAGGGACGGATCCCAGAAAAGGAGAACTGAAGACGGGATCCGACATGCACTCTCTTCAAAACTGTCCGATTAGTTTTTGATGTTGTTGTTTTTGGTGGTTTTTGTGTGTGAGATAACTGCATTCAGGAATCTCGCCACCTGCAGAGTTACAGAAGGATCTGTATCCTGCAAAAGTAGTGCGGCATGTGACTCAGCAGGCCTGCCAACCAAGCGCAGTAAAGCAGGGCCCAGGAATTTAGTCCTGGCTATGCTATGTAGGGGACAGTTGAACATTATATGTGAGAGAGAATCAACAGTTTTCCCGTCACACACGCATAGCGGAGACACCAAACCCTTGGAAAATCTGTGGCTCAGCAGGTTCGATGGAAAGACATTGAACCTTGCACGAATAAATGCATGTCGGTGTGGTACAGATGAAAGAGATGACATGTATGATGGAAGGCCAAGTGGTGAGGTTATTCCGTGATACCTGGGGGAGCAGACACCCTCACCCCGGCGAGGTTGTGTTGATTTTCAATGTCTGCTAATCTCTGCTCAATAAGTCTTTTGGCTGAGCGTAAGTTCATCTTTAAGGAGTCCGCTGGGGAAATTCCGATGCTCAGAAGTTTGGCATGGATTTTTCCTACCCATGGATTGACAAAGTCGTCCCGCCAGAGGCACTGAAAAGGTAATGGTTGGGAAGCCTGTGCCAGCTGGACAGCCAATAACCAAAGACTCGCTTCCAGATGACCGTCTCCAATGATGCAATCCTTAACTCCAGACGTATGGCTGCGTTGCTCACACACATGGGGAGTTTCAGGAGGCGACGGAGAAACTGATTCTGCAATGTCCCCAACGATGTTAAATTGGACCCTGGGGCCCAGAGCGGGGCAGCATAACAGAGGGTGGAAACCACTTTTGCATGGTACACCTTCAATGCAGAAGGGATGTGGGAGGCTCCGTCGGCCGCAAAAAATTGGAGTAGAGTATAAAGTATTGTTTTCCCTTTGTTTAGTAAATACTGTATCTGTGGCTTCCAGCTTAGGTTGTAGTGAAAAAAGACTCCCAGGTATTTAAATTTGAAAACTTGTTCTAATTGGACTCCATCTAACTTCCAGCTGTAAGTTTTCCGAGACCTGGTAAAGACCAGGACTTTAGATTTCCCATGATTAATTGTCAGATGGTTGAGTTTGCAATAAGCCGCAAAAATCTTTAGAGCTCTGCATAAACCGACTCTAGAGTAGGAAAGGATCGCTGCATCGTCGGCATATAAGAGCAGAGGGCAGCGAAAATCAGCTAGGCGGGGGCATGAATGTTGGCTTGAGACTCATTCAGAAAGAGCTTCATATCGCTAATAAACAAGTTGAAGAGGAGTGGGGCCAAAATGCAACCTTGGCGCACACCTCTATTTATTGGGACCTCGTTGGATAGGTTTCCCGCCGGTGTGAGTCTCACTCTAGCCGACGACCCATGGTGTAATTGGGTTATAAGCCATAACAGCCTTCTATCTATGCCCCATCTCTCTAATTTCTTCCATAGACAGTTTCTTGGGATACTGTCGAAGGCGGCCTTTAGGTCTATGAAAGCGACACATAGGCGCCCCCGACTCGGGGCAGAATATTTTCTGGCAAGATGATACATGATTACCATATGGTCAGTGGTCGAATAATTGTTCCTAAAGCCCGCTTGCTCGTGGCCAATCAAATTTGAGTCGTTTGCCCAATTGGACAGCTTGGACAGCAAAAATTTTGCATAGATTTTCCCGATGATAGACAAAAGGCTGATGTTCCGATAGTTCTCCGGGTCAGCAGGGGACCCTTTTTATGGACTGGCACGATCACGGCCTCCTTCCATGACCTAGGGATAAGCCCCGTAGAATTAATTGCATCAAAGACTTTGGCCAGGATTTCAGCCCACCACCTCGGTTGCGCAACAATAGCCTCAGCAGGGACTAGATCCAGCCCGGGGGCTTTGCCCGTTTTCAGATCTAATATCAAGTCCATTATCAGGTCTGGGTCGGTAGAGGGCCACAAAGGTAGATGGTCGGCTCGGAATTCAGTGGATGAGTTGGATTCCTCTGCCAAGGAGAAATATTTGCTCAAGAATTGTTCCCATGTGGGCGCAGGGATAATCGTCAGTGGGTACTTCCTTCCTCTTTTGTTTATCAAAGCCCAAAATTCCTGTGGTCTGCGGGATCTAGAGGCCGCAATCAAGGCTCGCCAACGCTTTAGATACCACTCACGTTTGGCCAGCTTTAAAGTCTGTTTGTATGCTCTTTTGGCTTGTAAATAGGAGGATGGTAGAGCCTGGGCATTAGAGTTTTTGTATTCATTATAGATGGAACGAAGAAGGGATCTTGCTTGTTTGCAAGAGGTATTAAACCAAGGGGCCCCAGCACTGCAATGCGCTACTTTCGCCTTTTGAGGAGGTAATGTAAAAAAGTGGTAAGGTTTGTTGTAAGAAGGTTAAAAATTTCAAAACCGAATTGGAATCTTGTAAATCAGTAGCTATTTGAGGTAGATAGGCAGTGATTTCCCTATGGAAAAAATCCTGGTATTTTTGGGCCACAGCCTCCGACCATTTGATCCCACTTATTTTGGTCGCTGATGAGGTTTCCAGAGGGACTGAGTGTTTATAGTCCTTCTGGTACCGGAACAATGACAAAGTGGTCACTATTGGGAGGTGATCACTGAAATGTTGGTTTTCAACCTGGAAGGAAAGTACATTGACGGCCAAATTTGCGGAGATCAAGAGGTAATCGATAACACTGTTAGATGCTGGTCCCAGGTGAGTGAACTCCCCCGGTATATCGGGGGGGAAGGTGCCGTTCAAGAATACTAGATTCAGGCGAATGGCCATTTGGTAAAGGGTCACTCCAGCTTTGTTTACTCTGTTGTCCTTTGAAGTTCTAATTCTAGCATGTTCCAAGTCAAAGTTGCCCAAACATGAGGGAGTCCACCATTTGGACTTGATTAGTAGGTCCCAATTTGTGGCAATTCGAGCATTAAAGTCTCCCCCAATTAAGGAGTACGAGTTAGGGCATTTGGTATGACATGACAATAGGTGATTTTCAAATGATTCCCATCTCCAATCAAGATCAGGTGCTGAGCCTTCGGGGGAGATAACCATTAGTAATTAGTAATGAGGACTTCCCTTCTGCGATCAGTCCAGAAAGAGCAAAAGGCGGGAAGCCCGTACCAGGGTGAATTTGGCGCGAAGTTGGAGTGAGATCCCAATCAAAAGACCCCCTTTGGGGCGACCACCTTTCAAGGAAGGGGAGGCCGGAAGTGTTAGAAGATCAAAACCGTCTATGGTAATCTCTTCCTCATCCCATGTTTCTTGGAATAGGATGATGTTAAATGAATTTATGTACTTCCTGAATTCGGGGTCTGATTTTTGGTTCTCCAACCAGCAATGTTCCAGCTAAGTATTGATAATGTCGGGTCCTTGTGCTGTCCCGGTAATTGTCACTTTGAGTTGTTTAATGGGTTCTTGGAGGTAGAGCGAGGACCCATAAGGAAATCAGTAATTTTAGTTTGTGCGGATAAAGTCTTCTTCTGTGTTGATTGAATCCGTGATTTGGTAACATTAACAGGCAGGAAGGGCTTTGCCGGGGAGGAAGAATTAGGCAAAGTTGGTGAGGTCGGATGCTGTTCATTGAGGTGAGTAGTAGCAAGTCTTTGATGGGCTATACTAGTAGATCCATCAGAGTTATCAGTCTTAACCAGGGTAGCACTAGGAGGTGTTCCAGTCATCACTTGTAGTTGCTGTGCAGCTGGAGAAGAATTATCACGCAGATGTATAGAAGGACGTGAACGCGGAGATGGTACATGCATAGTCATTTCCTGGTGATCTTCAGACAGGGTAGATTCTAGCTCAGGCATTGAGGCAAAGGAATCGTCAACTTCCATATTTTGATTGGACATAAGGTCTAAGACGGGAGTATTGAGTTTATCAACTTCCTCCACGGTAGAATGGTGCTGTTGGAGCTGTTGGTCAACAGGTGATTGCTGATTCAGATCAGTAGGGGGTAACAAAGTAGCAGGTTGAGAGATTATCAGGGCATTTGATGGAGACGCCTTGTGGGACGTGGAGTGCCTGCTCTCCTCTCTCATCGGCATAGAGGGGTCCCCTTGCGATAGGAGTCTTTGTTTGAGTAGATCCAATCTATCGAGAATAGCCTGCTGTTCTTCTGAAGGGAGTTTTCCATAGGAGAGGATAAGATTTCTCTCTTCAGGGATATTCCAATCTCCGCTTGCAATTGGATCATTCCTCAGTGTAGCTAGATGGGCACTTGAGGTCGCAGATGGAGCAGGGGGTACCCAGCTAGGTGTTTTCCCTTTATTATAGGAACAGAAGGAGGAAACGAGCGTTCATTGCCGGTTAAGATGTTGGCAAAAAGAGGTTTAACACTCGTGTCCTTAAAGACTCTTGTTGTTACAATCTCCCAGGGTGCCAGCCGATCTTTCTCTCTTGCAAGGAGATGTGGAATCCTGAATTGTGCAATTTGGTCATAAGCACATATACTCAGACTTCCGGGACGCCGCGGCCACGGGAAGGAGCGCGAGGCAACTCGTCTGAGGAGCCTCGAACAGCGTGGGGGTCTTAGAGGGGTCACGAAGGCTCCGTGAACCCCTAAACCACAGGTGGAATATCCTGTTGGCCAAAATACCCAGCAAGGCTGCGTGTGCTCGCCTGTGTTGCCGGCGTTTAACAAGGCTGGAGCCGCAGCGAGAAGGGGAAACATCAGACTCCATGCTGTGAAGCCTCAGGCTCCGAGTGAAAGCGGCGGACCTCCGACAACAGAGGAAAAGCTGGGAAATAGTTCTAAAGCTTTGATGAAAGCAGAGGAGGGAGAACACTGGAAAACAATCAAAGTAAAAGCAAAAGGAACGTTGAATGAAGTTGAATGAAGTACCCAGCGGAGAAGTAATTAAAGACAAATGAAGGAGGAATTCACTACTGGCGGTAAGAATGATAAAGGAGTAAAGCGAAAAGCTGGCAGACGTGAATGAAAGAGCAAGAAAGTAACCGCTAGCGAGGGGAAGGAATATCCTCGATAATAAAGTACATTTTACAAAGTACAAAGTACAAAGAGTTTGAAGCAAGGTAATACTGAGTTTTCTTCTTTTTGATAGAGAGACTCTTTACCGGGTTTGAGAGGAGGAAAGGAGGTTTCTGGGGCATTTGGTTGATGCTTTAACTGACAGGTTTTTTGAGGACGTTATTGTTAACATCAACTTTTTTGTTTGAAGTGGGTGGAAGAAAGCATGGGTCTTCCCCAGACCTTAATGCTGGTTTTATGTTAGTGACTTCCCTATGGGTATAAAAAAGGGAGGAGGAAGCCATTCCGAGACCTAACTTGGCTTTGCTATCCGCCATTCCATCTTGTCCTTGATCTACTACGCCTCTGCATGTATTTGAGATTTAAAGGGACATGCGCCAAAAGCCAAATAGGAGAATTTAAACCAGCATAAAGAACACTTCCTGAAGAACTTCCAAGTCTCCAGTAAAGAAAAACTTTTGGTGACGCCAGACCTCTATAATACCACCCTCTAAGAGGACAAAGACTGTAAAAGGTAAAGATTGTAAAACTTTGTGTATAGCCTGATGTGTGATGCCTAATATCTGCTATTATACCCCAACACCAGACCCGGTAACTTATTAACCCATCAGAGATTATCGGTGATCCTGTGCCTCATCCCTTTTTGAATAACATTAGTGTGGTGGACCCCAAGACCTTTCAAGCCTACAAAATGACAAACGGTGCAAAAAAAGGCGTGGCAACACCAGCGGAAAGGAGGTCGTCGAGGCAAGAGGATGCTAAGGAAAGTAAAGAAATTAAAGACTATAGCAGTCTGATGGCCGAAATAAGGAAAGAATTCAAAAATAATGAACAATATATTGAGAGAAAATTACTTGAGGTACAGGACACTTTGGATAAGAAATTGGAGGGAGTGGTGGGGAATTGACAGGAAAGGTTAAAGATTTATCAGTAAGAACTAAGGTTTTGGAAGATTCAATGAAAAAGGTGCAAAAAGATACGAAAATTAGTAAGAAGGAGGTGGATAGAATTAGAGTAGAAGTTAAAGAGATAGAAAGAGTGCAGGAGGAGTTGTTGGACAATATGGCTATGACGCAAATGAGGCAAAATCAAACCAACCTAAAACTGAGGGGTGTACCAGAGACCCCAAATGAGAATATTAGATCTAAAATGATAAAAGAGCTGGCAACTTGGTTAAATAAGAGCGAGGAGGAGGTAAACTGCCATTTAGTAAATATTTTTCGAATAAGACCAAAATCAGACAGAGCCAGAAAGAAAAAGCTGCCAGGTGATGTAATTGTCATGTTCAACACTTTGGAAATAAGAAATGAAATACTGCAACAGAACCACATAAAAGGTTATATATTGGAGGAAGCCCAATTATTATCTTTAGAGAAATTCCTTCGAGATTTCTTCGAAGGAGAGAGCCATACAAAAATTAACAAACCAATTGAAGAAGAATGGGATATTGTATAGATGGGAGTTTCCGAAGGCATTTCATTCTACTTTAAGGAAAAAGGTTTAAATTAAGCACCAGTATTGAACTCCAAAAATTTGCGAGGAGATATGAGAAGGACCTGGGAAAAGTTGAAGGGGAGGTGGAAAGGGAGGAACGACAGAGAGACGAGGAGGGTGAAGGGAGTGAAGAAGAAGAAAAAGAGGAGAGCTTAACAGGAGAAGGAGAAGAACAAGAGGAGGAAAGCAAGGAACAGTAGTCTCTATTTAATCTAGTTAAATTAGCTAGAATAGTTTAATAGATGGCTTTAAAAACAATAAGCTGGAATGTCAATGGTTTGAACAATAAAAATAAGAGGAATCAGATTGCACATGTATTGTTGAAAAAGAATTGGGATTTAATTTGTCTTCAAGAAACGCATGTTATAGGAAAACACAAGAGAGTATTAAGTAATAAGAGATTGGGATTGGACTTTGTGACCTCCGACAAGGTTAAGAAAAGAGGGGTAGTAATTTATATAAAGGAAAAATATGACCCGCAACTACTGTATAAAGATGAACATGGGAGAGTAGTGGTGGTACAGATGGTGTTTCATGGAGAAAAAATAGTTGTGGTTGGAATATACGCCCGAATGAGAAAAAATCAGCTTTCTTTTTGGAATTAGATAATATACTAATGGAATGGATGGACCAGAAAATGATATTGATGGGAGATCTTAATGGGGTGGTGACGCCGAATATGGATAGATTAACAAAAAGACAAGATGGGAAAGAAGGTAAACTACCACGATCTTTCTTCGACATGGTAAATAATTTGGGATTGACGGATGTTTGGAGGTTTAAAAACCCTACTGCAAAACAATTCACTTTTTTTTTCAAATCCGAATCAGAGCTGGGGGAGGATAGACAGTATTTGGGTCTCGAGGGAATTGGTACAGAATTTAATTAAGTCTGAAATTTGGCCTAGAACTTTATCTGATCATAGTGCGGTTTCCATGGAGTTAAAAGGTAGAGAGGTTAAAACAGCCAGATGGAGAATGAATGAATATTTATTCAATGATCAAAGGATAGTAAATAAGGCTATAGAAACAATTGAAGAATACTTTAGGTGGAATTTAAATGGAGAAACTTCCATAGAGATGGTGTGGGACGCAGGAAAAGCGGTCATGAGGGGTTTTTGATTCAGAAAAATACCCAATTAAGAAAAGAAAAAGAAAAAAAGAAAGAGCAGATTTTAACACAGATTATGGAAAATGAAAGAAAATTAACTGTTAACCCTAGTGAAGAGAGTTTAAAACAGAACTTAAAAATACTACAAGCTAAATTTGCTACAATAATTAACCAAGAGATAGAGTGGAAA